GCCATTTTGACGGGATTTTTTTTATATCCTTCGAAAAGTATTGTTGTCCTGAGCTCAAATTTGAAAAGATATTTCACCTGTGATCATTTTTCGTAAAGTTACGGGGGTTTAAAGATTGCCATTTTGGCCAATTTGGGACAATTAACGCGCGATATAATCCGTCTTAGAAATTGTTCCAAATTGGTTAAAAGAAGCTTATTTGACATAATTGGTTTGTTACAAGGAGAGAAATTTAGCCTTTTGTACTGTATATGGCGTGTGGCGGGATGATTTCAAAAAAAATTTCACATTTAGAAAAAAAAATTTCTGTTGTTTCATTTTATTGATTTTTTTAATGTTATTACTGCTCCATAAACCTTAAAAGACAGTCGGAACATTCAGGGCTTTGCCCTGATACGAGCAGTTTTGTTTCAATTTGTGTATGACTATGGGTGGTTAGAAATGGCCAATTTTACTTATTTGAGACTCCTAATTAATGCGGACTTTTTTCCCTCAGTAAATTGGCCCCTCTGCACCCAAAGCAAGCTTTTTTGGTACTGCTTCACGAATTCTTTTTCTGACTATAATAAAGTTTTTCTGGAGCCAATAAAGACTGAACATGAAAATGCAATTGTTTTCTGAAATTTGTTTGTTTTAAACTTTAAAGATGTGATCTTTATAGTTTTTTGGAGAGCTCGGAAAGTCATTTTGGTCGACGTAAAAAATGTTTGATTAAAATTTTGCAACATGTTTGAGAAACCGCCTCTGCCATAAGCTTAACCTAAATGCGCAAATGCGGAAGCTTTTTTGAGGACTGATTCAAAACGTTTTCTTTATTTTTTTTGAAAATATCTGCTCTATTTTTTCTTTTGGAAATCGGTAATTGAAAACTTTTCATGATTTAAAACGCAATTATAATTCAATCACTTACCAATTCCAGGGATGCAGAAGTTGAGAATGAAGACGAGGACTGCTTGCCAGATGGGCAGGACAGGACCGAACTTGATCTGGTAGTTTCCACTCACGTGCATCTCCAACTCCTTCTTCAGAGTCTCAAGGTCATGCTCTTGTTTGATCTCCTGTGCATTCCTAGAACAAGTCTTACGTCTTCACACTTATTACAACCAAATCGCAAATATCACTCAAAGTTTGAAAGAATTATAAAAAAAATCATTACGAGGCCAAACTGTGCACTGGATAGGCGCACAATTTTGTGTCTGTATGTTCCTGGATTCCACAGACAAGTATTTAAACAAGTTCCAAAATGTAAGTGGATTCCATTTACAAGATTTACGTGGATTCCGCGTACATATACTTGTAATGTAAATTTTGTCGGCACATTTAATTTGTTGCGGATTTCGCAAAAAGCTAATATAGCTAGTTGTTTTGGATTCCGCAACTGTAAGTGAATTCCGCAAAATGTAAGTGGAATCCGCAAATTTAAGTGGAAACCGCAAAATTTGTAAAATTTGTGGATTACTGAACTTGCATATGCACTTGCGATGTTTAAAAGCAAGGGCTTAACCATTGTCAGCGGAATCCACGTACAAATCTTAAAACATTGGTCAATTAAATCGATGGATGTCACACTTTAGTATTTGCAAGCAGTTTTTGGGATCATAGTTTTGGAAACACAAGACCAAATAAATTCATTGGGTTAATTCGGTAATTGGGTTATTTCATTATTGGGTTGACAAATCGCCAATTTAGGTCAGTATTTGAGATTCAGTAATTGAGATTCAGTATTTGAGGTTTTGTATTTGAGATTCAAAATTTGGGAGCGTGAATTCAATTCATTTTGTTCACAGGGAGTGAATGATCTATTTAATTTATTTGAGTAAACTAGTTTCAGAAAAAAATTATCAAAACTTAAATTACAGCAGATTTAAACTTTAAGTTCAAATACACGAATATATAGTCCTGAAAATGTTGCCTTATTAAACTATGTTCTGGTTTCACATTATGAAAATATTTCAAAATGGCTAAATTAAAACTTTTCTTTTTATTGAATGGCTTGAAAAGAACTGATGAATAAGTTTACAGGAATTGAGATTGATGACAGGAATTTAGATCGAGATTAACTTTTGTAGGAAGTGAGATTGAAGCTGGGTATGTTTGACAGGAATTGAGATAAGATCGAACTTGCGTATATTTGTCAGGAATTGCGATCGAAGTTGGATATGTTCGACAGGTTTTCAGATCGAAGTTGGGTGTTTGACAGGAATTGAGATCGAAGATTTGGCCTTCCAACTGGTAGCTGATCAACGCAGTAGTTAAAAAATATAGTTTTAATGTATATAGTATGTATGTATGTATGTATGTATGTATGTATGTATGTATGTATGTATGTATGTATGTATGTATGACGTATGTATGTATGTATGTATGAATGTCTGTATGTATGTTTGTTTATAGGCATGTGTGTAAATTTGATGCATGTATGCATGTAAGTAACTATATACAAACGTATGTCGGTATGTATGTATGTATGTATGTATGTATGTATGTATGTATGTATGTATGTATGTATGTATGTATGTACGTATGTATGTATGTGTAAACTGTGTGTGTATGCATGAATGTATTTATCTATGTAACTAAATATGTATATATAAATTTTGTTTGTATGCATGTTTTTATCTATGTATGTATGTATGTATGCATGTATGTATGTTTGTATGTTTGTATGTTTGTTTGTTTGTATGTATGTATGTATGTTTGTATGTATGTATGTATGTATGTATGTATGTATGTATGTATGTATGTATGTATGTATGTATGTATGTATGTATGTATGTATGTATGTATGTATGTATGTATGTATGTATGTATGTACGACTGTAAGTATGTATGAATGTATGTATGTATATATGTATGTATGTATGTGTGTATGTATGCATGTATGTACTTAATTATGTATGTATGTATGTATGTATGTATGTATGTATGTATGTATGCATGTATGTATGTATGTATGTATGTATGTATGTATGTATGTATGTATGTATGTATGTATGTATGTATGTATGTATGTAATTATGTATTTGGAATGATTTGACTTTCGCACCAAATTTCTGTATGTTTCGAGATTCTCCGCCAAATTTTGGAATGATTTGACTTCCGCACCAATTTTTGGTATGTTTCGAATTTCTTCGCCAAATTTTGGTATGTTTCAAATTTCGCCGCCAAATTTTGGTATGTGTCGAGTTTCTCCGCCAAATTTTGGAATGATTTGACTTTCGAAACAAATTTTGGTTTGTTTCGAAATTTTTCGCCAAATTTTGGAATGATTTGACTTTCGCACAAAATTTTGGTATGTTTCGAATTTCTCGACCCATCAAATAGTTCGACAGCTGCATTTTGAATAATCAAAAAGTCTACCTACTTTGCTGACTTATCTCTTTCTTTCTCTACTTTCCCTATCTACTTCCTCTATCAAAATGTAGATTGTTCAGTCAATCCTATCCTTGAGACTAACGCAAACTGATTTATCAGTATAGCACTCAAAGTGTTCAAAATAAGCTCACTTTTAATCACATTTCATTTACACTTTTCCGCCCATGTCGAGCTGTTCAATTTATGTTTTGAACTTCTGCGCCAAATTTTGGTATGTTTCGAATTTCTCCGCCAAATTTTGGAATGATTTGACTTTCGCACCAAATTTTGGTATGTTTCGAACTTCTCCGCCAAATTTTGGAATGATTTGACCTTCGCACCAAAGTTTGGTATGTTTTGAATTTCTCCGCCAAATTTTGGACTGATTTGACTTTCGCACCAAATTTTGGTATGTTTCGAGTTTCTCTGCCAAATTTTGGTATGTTTCGAATTTCTTGACCCATCAAAGCGTTCGACTTTGTTCAACCCTGTTGACTTTTATTTCGACTTTCTCGACCAAAATTCGATATCTTTCGACCTCTCGGCTATATCGAACTACGTTTTTTGAACGTTTGTATGTTTGATCCTGTATTGAAAAGTTTCGATTTTCTTGACTCAAACTCGACCTATGTTTTGGCTTTCTCAACCAAAATTGGGCACGGTTCGACTGTGTCTGACCTTTGTTTCGACCGTGTTCAACCTATGTATTGATTGTGCTCCACCTATGTTTTGATTTTGTCGACCGAAACCGAATACGTTTCGTCTGTGTTCGGTCTATGTTTCGGCTGAGCTCGAGCTATATTTCGACTGTGTCCGACCTATGTTTTGGCTATCCTCGACCTATTTTTGACTGTGTTTCACCTATTTTGCGGCCGTTTTCAACCAATGTATTGAATGTGTTCCACTTATATTTTGACTTTGTCGGCTAAAATTAGGAATGTTTCGACTTTCTCGACCCAACAAAAAGTGTTCGGCTTTCTTCGACCTGCTCAGATTTATTTTGTTTTTCTCCACCAAAACTCGATATCCTTCGACTTCTCGTCTAATTCGTTCGAGGTTTCTTAAAAGTTTATTTGTTTAACCCTGTATGGAAAAATTTCGACTTTCTTGACTCAAACTCGACCTATGTTTGACTGTGCTCGACCTTTGTTTTGGCTTTCTCGACCGATATTGGATATGTTTCGACTTTGTGCGCGACTTAAAATTGCTTCTCGACCGAGAAATTCATTCGAAAAAGCTGCATCATCTCGAATTTCAAAGTGGAAACATAAATCGAGCACATCGAGATTGACCGATCAGGGTCAAGTTTAGGTCTTCTTTCCCAACATATAAAGAGAGATAATATTGCTTAGCACTGCATGTAAATGCAGTGGTAGGCATTTTGCATCTAAAAATTCTGACTTGAAACCATGTTAACATCCTCCTCTTTATAGCTTCAGGAGATTTTAAATTTTGGCCTCTTATTTCTGTCACGTTTGAATACCGAATATTCCGATTGACTTGTGCGACTTTCCCTCTTCAGCTTTTTTGCCACGATGAGTTGCTAAAGGACAGATTCCAATCATTTCGATGTCTGGGGTTGCGCAAAAGAGACCTCCATTCATTCAAGGATCTCATTTATAATATCTATCTACTTATAATATCAATCCAAGTATCTATTATACCGAGAAAATGTCTGCTTGGCTATTGGTCGAGAAGAATTTCTCATTTTTCAAAATTACTTTCAACTTGCCTCTGTACTTTCTGAACCATTTCGGCTGTTCCAATTGCATGCAGCAATGTGCTCCAGGATCCCCGATGACTTCCTTCGTACTCACTCACGGGCGGCGAAGGACTAGAGGATAAGGCCGAAACAGCATCATCTTCCTCGCCAGGACCCGCCGTCACAGCCCCATTTACCGAATCATGTTTCGACGTAGAAGCTTTGTCGTCTTTCTTCTCGGCTCCAGTTTTTGAAGCCGAGTCACCTTTTTCGTCGCCAGATTTAGTTTTAGAAAGCTTTCGTCGAAGACCCCTAAGCAGTCGAGCAGATCTAGCGGGTTGATCTGCCGACAAGGTGTCCCGAACCGGCGGTTTCTTCTCGACATCCTCCTCGTCATCCGAAGCACACGACAGAATCACACTGGGATTTTTGCTATCAGGACTGGCTTTGATCATCAGGACTGGCTTTGATCAAACTGAGTTCGCTGGTTCGATGTTGTAGTTTTGACCTCGTTTTTTCTAGTTTCCGGCTCAGAGATGTCGCAAGTTTCTCGACATATTCTTCGTCTTTGAGCTTCTCGGGAGCCGAGGACTGTTTGATATCTTCGTCATCATCATCAGGCGCCCAGGATGTAGTTATTTCAGGAACTGTTGAGCTACCCCCGTCGCTGAAAAAAGGGGCACGTGACAAAAGTTGTTGGTTTTTAACAAAAACATTAAAATTTCCAAACTTTCCCACTATTAATGCATAGTGAAAAATATGGGAGCCGAAAAAATTCAGGTTAAATATAATTGCTGGCATCGGCTTAATAACACTCTAATTCTGTCATTGTGCATTTATTTTGCTAGATCCCGCAAACTTCGCACCGATGTTACCCGCATCTAATATTCTAAAATAAACAATCAAGGAGTCAATCTCTGAGGCAGTTGCAGTATTTTCAGCATTTCTGAACGTAAATTTTACATTTTTGATAATTCAGATCAAAGGAATTTTTTAAGAAAAAAATTAAGTTCTGAAAAAAAATAAGAGAAGAGCATTCATGAGACAAACAGCGGACAACGTGAACAATCTCCCCCTAAATCAAAAAGGGAGGAGATTGTTCACTTGCTTAAAAGTTTATTTTTAACCTATCAGATTTGATCATAGTACATGCAGGCCTTACTGCATGAGTTTTTAGTTTAATTTTAGGGGGAGATTGTTCACTTGGTCTATTCAGAGGGGAGATTGTTCACATGGGCCCCAGTGCCTGCTCCGATTGCACTGAAAGCTAAGGAAAAGTGAGTGAGCCTACTGATGGTTCATTTACTTTTCATCATCATTGATTAATTTATAAATCTGAAGTTCATTTGAACTCACGAGAGAGATGGTTCTGACTCCGCTGCTTTGTTGACTCTTTCGCGTGAAGAATGACGCACCAAAATTCCAGACTTTTTGCGAGACTTCTCTGTTGATTTTTCGTCTTTTGGTTTTTCATCAGCCATCGGGGCTATGTTTTATTTCTGTTGTGGATTTGGTAGTGTGTGACAAATTAAGACCAACAGCGTATGAATTGGGGAAGATAAGGAAAAGATAGAGTGAGGATTTGATTCAGCTGCTCTACACCTGCCAGCTGAACAGACGTTTTTGTTTGTATTTTCTCAATGCTATTTAACCACAACAATCAATCTTTTCTTGAAAAACTCAGTAATGAACAAACTCTGGCCAGATTTTAGGTTTAAACACAAATAAGGATAGCCGGTTGCTGTGCAAGTAGAACAAACATCTGCAGTCGACTGCATCGCTAGAAGCAAAAAAATTCAAATACAAGAAAATATTTGAGGAAAATTCGGTCACAAAACCTGTCCTGTAGCATAAGACTGCTTTATCACGGCGCAGCCAAACAAGGAAAACTATATTAGCGGATTGTCAACCTTTCGGAACCTTCTTTCAAAAGTTTACTGGTGAATTGAATAAAAATGGAGTGCATTTTTCCAAATTAGTTTATATGCGGAGGTTAAAATGGACGCTGAGAATCTGAAAGAGCCTGGGTTTTGGCCAGAAAATACATGCCCTACTCCCAAGGGCAGATCTAAGACTTTCTCGAGGGGGGTGGGGCGGATTTTCAAAAAAATTTCGAAATTTTGTCTACCTTTTTTTAGGTCGAGCAAATTGATTTTCCGAGCTTTCACAAAGTACTAAAAAATACTTTGCCGCAGGCAAAATTTTGAAAAAACAGGCCAAAAAAGCGTTTTTAGACATTTTTTGGAAACTTTTTACCAAAAAATTGCGTTTTTTTCGGCGCGCGCTCCCCTCTTAAATTTAGTATATATATTGAATTTAAAATATATAGTATATAATGGCGAAAATTTTTTAGGTCCGTCAGCCAAAAATGGACATCTCAAAAAAGGTCCGCCCCCCTCCCTCCTAAATCTGCCCTTGATTTTGACCCAAAATTTTGGGCCTCACGCAAATTTTTGCAAAAACAGGTCAAAACCGTTTTTGGGCTTTTTTAGAAACTTTTGTTGAAACAATTGCCCTTTTTCGGCGCGCGCTCCCCTTCAAAATAATTATTTACTGGCGCCAAAGGCGCCTTTAGAACACTTTTAGGGTTGGTCCGCCTAAAATGGATGTCATAAAATAATACCAAAGGGGGTTTCTTTGGTTGGCGAGGGATTCGAACCCCTGAGGGGAAAGCGTCACCGCCCCTGAGTACACCTGGGAAAGCACTAGAAATTGCAAAAAAGCTAGAAACTCCAAATATTGCATGTATCTATACTGGAGGTAGACAAAAAGGAAAAAAAAGAAAAGAAAACTTTTAACGGAATGGCGCAATCAGAGGCATCCAAAAACCTAAGATCTACGCTTTTTTAACTTAAACAAATATTGCCAAAAAATGTTCGCGTAAAAACACAAAATTCAGGAGAAGTCTAATTTTGAGATCTGAAAACAACTAACTTTAGCAACCAATAAAAAGCCCAACAATCATCTAGAATGAAAAGCATTTATCACAAGAAATCAAAAAAGAGAACGAAGCATTCTAATAATTTTGAAGTTTTTTTCTCGAAAGATCAAAAAACTGCAAACTTAGAGGAAATGGAGGAATAACTGATTAGAGACGATTTAAAAACAAACCAGAACAATATAAAAAATCCGACCACATAAAGAATATATAAAAAGTTGTCTTCAAATTAGTGTCCATTTTTTTTCGAGATGTTTTCAGAAAACAATAAAAACGCGTAGAAAACTAAATAATAAGCCATAATCGACAATATTGCCAAAACATGAATTAAAAACAAAAATGAATAAAGAAAAACTGAAAAATTCTGCTTCAAACTTTTTCTAACCTTTTTCACAATAATCTTAAAAGTTTACAGAAACACTTTATTGTCAACGAAATGCTAAAGGAAACTTTCAAAACTAGTTCTTTTTTAGCAAAGCAATTTTTTTTCGCCTAAAACCTAAAAAAAAAATTAAAAACTTTCATTTAACGAACGTTACTCGATGGCTATACTCGGTCAAAATTGATATCAAACAAAAGTGTTTTAAACCATTTTTCTCGACATTTGGACAATTATTTGAATTTTTTTCCTGATGTTCGAATCACGACTCGACTCAAAGAGCTTTAAAATGATATATCACTCGACCTTTTCATATGAATACCTGTGGTATCTGATTTTGCGTGGAATGAAAAACTAAAAGACACTCACATACAGAGCTCATTCCTATTTTCAATAGTCGGAAGAAAAGTTCAGAGTTCAGAAGAAAATCTTCAAGAAGAAGTCGAGAAAGAAAGTCAGCGCTGATTGAAGCACAAGTAATGAAACGGGTGTACAAAATCATCAAAAACTATCCGGGAAGCCAAAACCTAAGCCACGGGCACATTTCAAACATCAATATTGTAACAGAAATTAATCAAAGATCAACCGCAAATCAGTAAATTTATAAATCAAAACTGAACGTAAGAATGCGGTATAAAATGTAGAAAAAGCCATTCGGTTGTTTGCCCAGCAAAAAAAGCAATTGGCAAACGTTAGTGGAAGTCAATTTGACATCCGTGTGCGAGCTAAAAAAAAAAGAGAGTTAACAATGGGTCTAAGGCAAACATTTAATAAGCCAAACATCCGAAATTATGTAATAATTAAGTAATGAAATAAGTTAAGAGCTTCAAACAGTTTAGCCGATTCTAATTGTGCCAATTCTCAGCTTAACCGGCTCTAATTTTCTTAAAATGTGCTACCTTCTGTGTTGGTAAGCTTGCAAAACGTTGACGCGACTGCGTCGGTTACTATCAATTCTGCCAGCTCAGCATCTTTTAAGCACTTGGTAGAAATCGCATCTTTGCACTATTTTTGAAATTTGATATGTCTGCCCTAAGGAAGCTGTTTTTCGGATGTGTGCAATTCTTTTTGGTTTTTTTGATGTTTAACATATCGGATGTTTGAACGGTACCCATTAACCTCATCAACCGAGAAATTGAAACTGACGGAAGCTAGTGCAACCAATCTTGTAACACGGCGGGGTGGGCAATCTGTTCGATTTCAGCAGATTATTCAATTTTAAATGTGAGAATGAAGAGAGTAGAAAAACTGAAGAAACTTCTCAAGAAAGCTCGATCCGAAGAATTAATTATTTTTTTTGTATGTTTCATAATACAAAATTTGTTTTCTTGTTTTACACGTAGTACTCATCGCATGATTCTATTTAAACAATCATAATGTATAGGGAACGCAAGTTTTCCAAAAGTCTAGTGATTCAATACAAAATTTTTGCTTTTGTGTCTGTAATATGCGTGAAGACGTCGCACATACTGTATATACCAATCAAATTCAGTTGTTGTGTAGTTTTCTTGCATGAGCCAGAAAGATGATGTTAATTTTCGAACTCTTCGTCGCATAGGTAACATAATGGTTGATCTTTTATACCAATTTTCCACAATAATTCTTTATCGTGATAACAATTTAGGAGAATACGATAGAGAGTATTCTTTTCAAGCCAATTTAGATGTCTATTTTTCCATGTCCATTCGATTTTACTCTCCAAATATTGTTATTCAACGTTAAAATTTTTGCAGCTGCCTGCAATTTGTTTTTTCCATGCGTTCTCGCGAAGTGAGCTTGATGTATTTAGTTGTAGATGAGGCGAAAACTCTTTCTTCGAGCGAGCGGGCTTATTATTGATGGATAGTCGCAAATTAGTAGCCAAGAAGTTTTTTTATGCATTAAAAAGTCTGGTAAGACAAGTTTGCAAAATTTTTCAAAATTTTTTAGCGCCATCCTTGGATTATAAAACCTAAAGAATTCAAAAACATTTCTGCAAAAAAATAGGAAAAAAATATATATTTTTTTGTTTTTGTTATCTAATGATTTTTAAAAGTGAACTCACTTGCAAAATGTCTAAATTCAGAGCCTTTCATTGCACTACGCACAACAAAAATTGAAATTATTTTTTTTGTAGTTTTAGGATTATGGTCGTAACA